CTCCTCTCTATATAGACCGATTTCTCTGAAAAACCCTAGCAAGTACATATGTATCTCCTGATCATTTTATTAGAAAACTTGAGAAGGATTAGCAATAATTCTACTTTCCTTTTTAAATCTTTTAATTATTTTATTTTTAAAATTTAATAAATCTTTATTGTTCAGATTATTACAATTGTTTCCCCCCCCTCCATAATGCCCCTCCACCCAGTTCTCATCCCACCCTCTGCTCCTACCTCCTCCCAACTCTCTTCATCCGTACGATTTTTCTTTCCCCCTGAGAATTATCAATCCATTACCTTTCTATGTCCCTGATTCTATTATATTCACCAGTTTATTCTGTTCCTCAAATTTTTAATTCACTTGATTTTTAGATTCACTTGTTGATATATATGCATTTGTTGGTTTGATTTTATCTATACTTTTTTCCTATTTCTCTTCTTAAAGAATACTTTTCAGCATTTCATATAATACTGGTTTGGTGGTGATGAGCTCTTTTAGCTTTTTCTTATCTGTCCTTCAATTCTGAATGATAACTTTGCTGGGTAGAATAATCTTGGTTGTAATTCTTGCTATTCATCACTTTGAATATTTCTTGCCATTTTCATCTAGCCTGCATAGTTTCTGTTGAGAAATCAGCTGACAATCAAATGGGTGCTCTCTTGTAGGTAATTAACTGTTTTTCTCTTGCTGCTTTTAATATTCTCTCTTTGTCTTTTGCACTTGGCATTTGAATTATGATGTGCCTTGGTATGGCCTTCTTTGGATTCCTTTTGTTTGGGGTTCTGTGTGCTTCTTGAACTTGTAAGTTTATTTCTTTCACCAGGTGGGGGAAGTTTTCAGTCATTATTTCTTCAAATAGGTTTTTAGTATCTTGCTCTCTCTCTTCTTCTGGCACCCCCATAATTCTGATATTGGTATGCTTGAAGTTGTCCCAGAAGCTTCTTATCTTCAAATTTTTGGATTTTTTTTTCCTTCTTTTCTGGTTGAGTGTTTTTTGCTTCTTTGTATTTCAAATCTTTGGCTTGATTCTTGTGATCCTCTACTCTGCTGTTGGATCTTTGTATATTATTCTTTATTTCAGTCAGTGTATGTTTAATTTCTAGTTGATCCTTTTGTATATCCTCAAGGGTCTCACTAAATTTATTGGCCTTTTCTAGGAAATTCTTGCACAACCTTATAACCATGGTTTTGAACTCGATATCCAATTTTTTGTTTTCTTCCAATTTTTGCATTTGTGATCTGTTTCTTTGTCTCTGCATTTTTACTGCTTCCCTGAGTTGGTAGGGTAGCTTTGTGTGATAAGTGTCCTATATGCCCAGTGGGTTGGCCTCCCCAGTTACCTGAGGTGGACACTGTTAGTGCATCCCTTTGTGGACTATATGTACAGCTTTGTTGTAGTTAAATCTTGATTGTCATTGGTATCACTGGGAGGAATTGAAGTATATTAAAGTTGGCTGTGAGAATTAGCTGTGTCTATGACGGGAGAACTTCTGTGCTGGAGACAGCCTTATGAGACAAGATTTGCAAAATTGCAAAAGCATTTGTGCTCAGCTTGGATGGGGCAGAGTCTCAGGACTGAGCAGACAGTTCTTGGCTTCCCTTCATCCCTGTCCTATGAGGATCCTGGGTCTCAGTGTCCCTTGGTAATTTCTGTAAGTACCTCTGAGAGAAAGCAGCCCTTGAGTTTCACCCACTGCCAGTCAGTCCAGTTTCTCCCCAAATGAATCTGGATTTCTAGATTCTTGCCCAGAGCTGGAGTTCAGCACAGTGGAGAGCTTCTGGTTCCCTCCAGCTAGAGAGATCCAGCAGCACACTCAACAGTCAGTCCTCTCAGTGTGCACTTACACGTGTGCCTCCAGACCCCTGCCCTCCACAGCTCCCCCGAATCTCCATGTGCCTTTATCTCTACCTGACAATCCAGAGTCCCCTGGTATGAACCTGGGTCCACAGGGTTTTGCCCAGAACTGGGGATCAGTGCAGTCAGAACTGAGGTTCAGTGCAGTTGGGAGCTTACTTCCCTCCCACCAGAGAAAGCCAGCCAGACACTCAGCCACCCTTCCTCTCTGCGTGCATGTCTCTGTACCTCAGCTTTTCAAAGCTCCTCTGATTCTCTGTGAGCTTTTCTCTTTCCTTCTAGTTGTAGAATTTCCATTCAGCCAGCTTTCTTGTGTTTCTGGATAATGTCTGTTTTCTCTTTTAGTTGTAGTTTTGAAATTGTTGTGTGAGACAGCAGTTTAAGTGCTTACCTATGCTGCCATCTTGTTTTCTCCTGTATTAATGATCTCAAAAAATTTTTTTTAATAAGAAAGAAGAATGCAGTTTGAAGCACTTTTCAGCAATAAAAGTGAACTGCAGAAAATAGCTTACTTGGTTGATATCTTTGCCATCTTGAATGAATTAAATTTATCACTGCAAGGACCAAATGCAACGTGCCTCAATTTGTCTGAAAAGATCTGATCATTGTAAATGAAACTTCAGCTTTGGCAAAAAATATTGGATGAAAATAAAATTACATGTTTCCTACCTTATCTGCTTTCTTTGAGGAACATGACATTGAACCAGACAAAAGGATTACGATGATAATTTCTGTGAAAGAACACTTGTACAAGCTTGCAGATGAAATTCCATTGTACTTTCCAGATCTATCTGACACCCCATTTGCACTTGCCAGAAGCCCATTCACAAAGTTGAAGATGTTCCTGAGACAGCACAAGAAGAGTTCATTGAACTTATTAACAGTGGTGCAGTGAAAACTGATTTCTCTACAATGCCAGTTACAAAATTCTGGATCAAGTGTTCTGTCTGAGACTGTGTTGCACCTTCTTCTTCCATTTCCAAAAACATATCCTTGTAAAACATGGTTTTACAGCTTGTTGATTATTAAGTCTAAATACAGAAGTAGACTTGTTGTGGAAGATGATCTTCGTTGTGCTCTTGCAAAGACTGCCCTGAGAATTTCTGATTTGGTGAGAAAGAAGAAATCTCAACCTTCGCATTGACGTTGGCTTTTTACGCATACTGTCACAAAATGTAGCAATTTAGTTTACTGTTGTTATTTAAGACTGTTACCCATGCTACACCATGCTTCAAGACAAAATTTTATTTATTTGTAATTAGAAATAAATATTTCACAATATATAATTACATATTGTTTTTGTGATTAATCTCTATGCTTTAATTATGTTCAATTTATAACAATGAAAATACATCCTGCATATCAAATATTTTCCATTATAATTCATAACAATAGCAGAATTACAGTTATGAAGTAGCAACAAAAATAATTTTATGTTTGGGGAGCACCACAATATAAGGAATTGTATTAAAGGATAGAGGCATTAGGAAGGTTGAGAACCACTGTTCTAGACCTTCTCCCTGCCATGTTCAGGTTACATTTATTTATCCTTTTATAGTGAAATGTCCAAAATAGGACATTAGTGAGTTTACTGACACCTAGTAAAGTGACTATCATCCATAACTAAGATGCAAAAGCCTTGGCGAATCCAGGTATCTCCTGCCTCTGGGAGGAGTCATGCTCTTCGCCAAGACAGAATAAAAGCAATCAGGGTGCTGTAAGTTCATAATACAATTCATCTTTATTATTTGACTCAAATGAGTGTATTTACACATGATTTTTTTTTTCCAGAATTTGTCATAGCAAGGGTTGTTTAGGGTACAAAAGTATTAATCTCTTATAAATGGCCCAATCTTGAAGGTAAGCTGATACTTTAAAAAAACAAAGGTAGCTGATCCCATCCCAAAGCATCTATAAGCAGTTAATATTGAAAACATCTGGTCCTACATCTATTGGGAGAAGATTCTATAGCTCCCATCTCATACAGCGCCCCTATCAGGGAGCTCTCAAATTTATCTCTTCAACCCTAAGTGGAATATCATCACCATCTAGAAAGAAGTCAAGTAGGCACAGCAAGCAAACCCTGAAGTGCAGAGGCTGCGTGAGAATGAACCTGGACCCTGGGCAGTGTACCCACCTCGTAGGACCTGCCCCTGGACATGAGATAAGCTCCTAATGTGTTTGACCGCTATTGTGTGAGTTCTCTGAGTTTTAGCCTTATCCCTAACCCTCAAGATAAAAAAAAGAGAGAGGGAGAGAGAAAGGTGCAAATGAGTTTTCAATAAACTCTTTAGAGAAAATCTACATTATACTTAGAATTTAAAAATTTTGCAAAGTTGTCTAATTTTGGCAGTTTAACTGGGATTCTGATTATTATTCTAGTCTATTGCACTATGATGATTTAACAATACAGTCCTTTGAATCATCACAGAGGTATGTTCATTTCCTCAGAGTGAAGAAAGAGGGGATGGCAGGGTCCTTTGCATTTAGACTTGAAATGGAGAGGATAGGAAGGACAGCCACCATATTAGGAAGGAATAGCTCAGGGGCCAGTAGGCTTGGCAGGCAGGGAGGAAGCCCACAGGAGTCCAGCTTCTCCTCTCTGGCATGCCCAGGACTCTCACACATCCGGAAACCCTTATTCTTTGTAACCATATGTGTTATGACCTCTGCTGGCCATGTCCTTGTTCCTGGGGCCGACCTGACTGCAATCTACCTACATAGGTAAGTCATTCTTGTGACTCGATTCTGACTTTTTCTCTACCTTATTTCTTCTTGTTCTTTTATAATCCCCTACTACCGCCCCAACCTGACAATTTATTTACATACAAAGAGGTAAAGCATTACATGGTAAGACACAATTGACTTCTTAAGCCCTCAAAGTCATGAACCTACTTCCCACCTACCAGTCCTCTCATACCCCCCAACCTGAGCATGTCTCTAACTTAAAGAGGCCTCGGGCATTTCAGCCACCTATTAAGACTATATTCATTTTCTTTAGACTTTTTTTTTGGATTTTGCTTTTCCTGGGCATCTACCCTGTTTTCCCGAAAACAAGACAGTGTCTTATATTAATTTTTTCTCCCAAAGTTGTGCTAGGTCTTATTTTCAGGGGATGTCTTATCTTTCCATGTGCTAGGTCTTATTTTTGGCAGATGTCTAATTTTGGGGGAAACACAGTAGTTCTTTTGTTGATGGGCTTTTTATTGTTACCTATCAGCTCATTGGCCATTTTCATAAAATGTATTACCTGGTCTTCCCTGGCTTGGCCAGTTTCTTTGTTATTAAAAGCACAAACTCGATTCCCACACTTTTTAATTGTCTTCTTAAGAAACTTGTTTTCTGTGTTTTTGCAGTAATCTTTAATGTCCTCATCCCCCAGGTCTTCCTTCCGAGTAAAAAGCACAATCATATAATCTCTAACCTTCTTTCTGAAGATGGTCTTTAGTGTCGCCATCACTTTTTTGTCTTCGTCTGTGACCCATCCCAGCTGGAGCACCAGTACCAGAACTGTGTTGCCATCACTTCTGGGCATATAATTTTGGACAATCCTTTGGTTACTGGACAACTTACAGGGATCAGGGGTATCTACAACCATAATGTCCTGCTCAGCCTCTGTCCTCTTGCCTTCCTTGCATTCGGTGGTGACTGGCTGGGCTCAGAGTTGAGAGACAAACTCTGACCGCCCAAGGATGGTGTTCCCAGTGGCACTCTTCCCAGTCCCGCTCTTTCCCACGAGGACAATGTTCAGGGTCTCTGTCAGAGGAAAGCAGGGGAGAGTTGAAACCCTCGGCTGACCTGAGTACACCTTCGAAAGCCACACATTAGAGGGAAAAACACTTGGGAAGCATCAGGGCTGCCTTCCCAGAGTAGCTCAGACACAAGCATGGAAATGACTTCCTCCAGACAACTAGTGAACCCAGAAGCAGGAGTTGGATCACAGTCCCTGCCCAGTGTTCACCCACTGACATGCTGCCATTCTCATCTCTGAATTTATTTATCATTGATTTATCATTAATCTATCATTAATTTATCAATTCCCCTTTTTCTAGTAGCTTCTTTGATATCCTGACACCCTGTGAGTGCTTTGTTACTCTTCACCTCCTCACCTAGTCCAGTCTATTCATCTCACCTCTGTCTTCTGTTACTGCTGTGACTATGTAATCTCACTGAAGACTGGTGCTAACTGTAGCAAAGTCTCCTGGATGTATTTGAAAAATGATTCTATACAATTACTTTTCGTGAAAAAGCAACTACACATACCATCTGTGGGTTACCAGATGGAGCACGCTAGAAGTCACTTCTCATTACAACCACATTCAACTTAACTGTGTCTTTCATTGATGTCAAAAGGCACCTCATGGCTTTAATAATGAATACCACTAACACTGTTTTCTATGGTGTTAATGTGGAGAATATATTTCCCTACAGAGAGAATTACTGGAATAATGTGATGCATATCACATTTCATTTTCCTGAGAGATTAAAATGTTAAACTTGGCTTCACTGGGCTTGGTCCTTAGTGTTCCTCTCATTTTTCTACCAAAGGTAAGTACTGTAGCTAACGTCTGTGGGCTAAAGCAAGGCCAGGGAAAATCTTAGTTTAATATGACACTGAGTTGTATATTCATAAAATAGTATACAACTCATCATTTAATAAAAGACAAGAGTGAACTACTGATATGCAACATGGCTGGATCTCCAAAACATGCTAAGTGAAAGAAGCCAGATGCAAAACCACATACAATATGAGTACATTATATGAAGATCAAAAACATACAAGATTAACCAGTGCTAGTAAAAGTCTTAAGAGTGGTTTCCTCTGGTGAGCTCTTGAAAGGAGATGAAAATGAGCCACATCATCATCTAATGGTCACATATGTGTAGATGTGTAAAAGTCATTGAGTTGTATACTTATTATTTGCACATCTTACTGTACTTAAATTAAATCTCAATAAGTATCTGTAAAAATTTGCACAACACAACAGTCTCTCCACACATGCCCTGTTCCCACCACTTCTCCTATGAAACAAGGTCAACACCAGACCCACATGCTGAGCAAATGGCAGAGACAGCAACTCTAGGGATATTCACTGAATCTCCGTCCTCCAGGGCACCATGCTGTGGAATGTTACTCTGTTGTCTGCATGGCAAGCTTGGGAGGGGAGTGATCATGGGATTTATTTTTTTAAAATATATTTTATTGATTTTGTACAGAGAGGAAGGGAAAGAGTTAGAGAGTTAGAAATATCGATGAGAGAGAGTCATCGATCAGCTGCCTCTTGCACACCCCCTACTGGGGATATGCCCGCAACCAAGGTACATGCCCTTGACCGGAATCGAACCCGAGGCCCTTCAGTCCCCAAGTCTATCCATTGAGCCAAACTGGTCTAGGCTGATCATGGCATTTAAAGAAAGCAGCTGAAATGCAGTAACTCCACATCCTTTTATGTTTCCTTTGGAAAGTTACTGACATGCGCAGAGTTTAGGATACATCACTAATGGCAATCACTACATGGGTACTGAGCTCTAGCACTGAATTCTGCATAGTAGAAGGAGGTGTTTGCATCCAGGACTAGGAGGAAGAGGCCAAGTAGGCACAGCAAGCAAACCCAGTTTTGTAACATTTTTGAGAATGTCAGGTACACCTGCAAAGGGCTAAAGACCTTTTATGGTGTTATACCTACTCAACAGTGTTAAGCTTTCCATAGAGACAGGTTGTAGCCATTGACCTGAGCAAGGTCTTCAGGATATATTTTTTGTTTTTATTTATCTAGATAGTTTCCCCACTTCCCTTTGATGCACAACTCATTCAAAGAAATTCAGATATGACCTTGACATATTTTAAGGATATGCTTACCATTGTTCTTAGATGTAGTTTCTTTCTCACAGGCCTGGAAAATAAAGAGGGAAAATGATGTCCAGATCTAAAATCTCATCTTTTCATAAAGTTAAGAAATGGAGTCCTAGTGTGTAATTCACAGTAATTTGATGAGTAGGCTGTAGTCAAATGAAGACCATGGTCATAGTCTTTGCTGGTCATTATAAACTTGTCCATAATGACAATCTTGAAACCTTACTGTTTCTGCTGCTTTAATACATTACCAAGTGCATGGTGGGTCTTGCTCTCACTCAGAGGAGCCCCACAGATGCCATCTATAAGGCATTGTTCCTGAAGCTCTAACTTCTCTATAGTTCCTAATAGTAATTCCAGAGATTCTGATATTTCTGGAGAAAATTCAGAGGCTTCAGGAGACCTTCTGCAGCCCCTGGAAGAAGAAACGCTCCCAGTGATGCCTGTGATGTGCAGTTGTGACAAGGAGAAGTAAGGAGATTGGAAACCAGACTCCTCACATCTTGCCGATGCCCTCTTACACTACTGGCACCCCCAATGTAGAGATGAATTATTATTAACGTAAATACAGTAACACTTGGGACCTTCCCTATCCAGGTGGGCAAATGAAGATGACGACAAGATGGATAGCCATTTACCTGACATTCTCTTCATCTGCCTGGTGAGCCTTATCTTGATTCCCCAAATTTAAACTTAAAGGGAATAAAAAATGTGAAAACATGATATACAATCTGGATTAATCTGCTATTGTAGATGCTTTCTATACTTTATTTTAACCTTGTCTTTGTTAAGTCTTCATGACAGCCCAAGTTCCCTGCTTTCTAACCTGATTCACAGCATCCTTCTGGTACAGCCTTCCGCTGGTCCTGTTGGGACAAAGAGAATCACATCAAGGTTCAACTCACAGAGTGAACAGAGAAACAGCAAGAAAGAGTGTTCCCTTTTAACTCAATCCCTCTACCCCACTCAAGAATTTAGGCTACTGAAGTACTAGACTTGGACTAGACTAAAAGAAGGAATCATGTTTGCCAGGATCTTCTCTTCATGGTTGTTTGTGAAATGAACAACCATGCTGACAAAATGCCAACACTGTGGATTGGCTAAAATAACAAGCCCTTATTTATCTATATTACCCACTTACATGCTGGGAGATACATAAACATTCTCTATGACAGACAGAATAATGTTCACCCACCAGGCGACCGTGTATGAACCCCAGAATCTATGACTGTGATGCCTTGAGTGGTACGTGGATTTTACTAATAATATTGGTATCTTCAGATGCATAGAGAATCTTGGATAAAACAAGATATTTTAAGAGATCCTTATATGAGGGAGGCAGATAGATGAAATAGGTTAAAGGATTTAGAAGTAAAAATTAGTCACAGCCTATGGACACAGACAATAAACAGGTGAAGGCCTGGGATGTGAATTACCTTTCAATAATAAGTTTAAACATAACAGACTAAATATAATACTCCAATCAAAAGACATCAAATGGCTGAATGGATAATAAAACATGACCCAGTATATGCTGTTTACAAGAGACCTATCTCAGACTAGGGACTCACACAAACTGAATGTGAAGGAATGGAAAAATATCTACCAGGCAAATGAAAAAAAAAAAACGAGGTAGCAATACTTACCTCTGACAAAATAGAACTCAAAGTCAAGGCCATAACAAGAGATAAGGAAGATCACTTCATAATACCAAAGGGATCGATACAACAAGAGGATATAATCCTGTTAAACATATATGAACCCAATGCAGGAGCACCCAAATATATAAACAAACCTCCTGGACGAGAGGACAACAATACAATCATAGTAGGGGACTTTAATATACCACTTACATCACTGGATAAATCCTCTAGACAAAAAAAGCAAAGAAAAAGCAATCCTAAATGACTCACTAGATCATATGGACTTAATTGACATTTTCAGAACATTTCACCCCCAAACCATAAATATACCTTCTTCTCAAGTACACATCAGATATTTTCAATGATAGACCACATATTGGGTCATAAGCAAAGTGTCTCCAAATTCAAGAAGATTGAAATCATATGAAGCATATTCTCAGATAACAATGGCATAATATTAGAAATAAACTACAATGAAAACAATAAAAAATTAAACACCTGGAAGCTGTATAGTATGCTATTAAAGAATAACTGGGTTAGCAATGAGATCAAAGAAGAAATTGAAACATACTGGTAACAAATGACAATGAAAACACAACAATCCAAAATCTAGGAGACACAATGAATGCAGTCTTGGGACAGATAGCTCTATAGGCCTCTTTAAAAAAAAAATAAGAAAAATGGTAATAAATCATCTAACTCCACAACTAAAAGAATTAGAGAGAGATCAACAAGAAAGACTAAGAGTGAGCAGAAGGAAGATATCAAAGCAGAAATAAATTACATAGAGACAAAAAAAAAAATACAAAAGATCAATGAAACCAGGAGATGGTTCTTTGAAAGGATAAACAAGATTGATGAACCTCTAGCTAGGCTCACCAAGAAGCAAAGTGAGAGGACCCAAATAAACAAAATCAGAAATGAAAGAGGTGAAATAACAACAGACCCCACTGAAATACAAAGGATTATTTAAAAATACCATGAACAACTCTATTCCCACAAACTAGACAACCTATAGGAAAGAGATATATTCACAGAAAAATACAACATCCCAAAACTCAATCAGGAAGAACCTAAAAATCTCAATAGCCCGATAACTAT